GATGTAGGGTGTTACTCATATAAATTATGTATTTATGTTTAGTATATATTTTTATATAAACTGTATATAATTTCTATAAATTCATAGGTATTAATTATATATATAACTAATATAAATTAGTTAAGATGAAGTCACACTGAAGGAGGGTGGGCCCTAATCCAATATGACTGGTATCTTTTTAAGAAGACACACAGAGAAGATGGCCATGTGAACGCAGACACAGAGGGACAGCACCATGTGAAGGCAGAGGCAGAGATCGGAGTGATGCATTTATCTACAAGCCAAGGAATTACCAGAAGCTAGGAAGAAGGAAGGAGGAATTCTGTTTAGAGTTTCGGAGAGAACATGGCTCTGCTGACACATTGATCTCAGACTTCTAGCCTCCAGAACTGTGAAACAATCAATTTCTGTTGGTTAAGCCACACAGCCTGTGGTACTTTGTTACAGCAGCCACAGGAAATTAATACAACCACTTTTCACATTCTCAGCCAGCCTAAGACGCTCAGGCTCACATCCACGATTTCCCATCATCCTCCTACCATCTTGAGTCTTGGAGGCATTTCATCGCTCCAGTAGCCAGTCTTTCTCACCCCCAAAATAGATGTAAGCAAACAGCCCAGAATGTTATTTTGTGGCACCTGCCTCAGGTACGGGCAGCAGCAAACCTCCAGCAGTCAGCATTCCCAGATACCCTTGGACTTCTCAAAGCAGCCGCACTGGCAATGCTGGGCCCAGCTGGCCCATGTCTGTCCTGCACCTTCCCTGGTGGGGCCCCTTCCTCTGCCACACACCCCTGGTGGCTGGGGAGGCCAGGACCATTGGCCCCTTGGAGGTAAGGAAATGAGGAGCCTTGAGAGAAAGATGGAGGTTTGCAGAAACCCCCACCTCAAAATGTGCTGTCTCTAGTTTAGAAAAGACTCAGAGTAGCCAGGTGATGGCCAAGTAGATGAGTAAGAAGAAGAGGATCATGCTGTCAGCAGGCCTTCTATTCGGTGCTGGGAGTAGTCGTAGGACATGACCCTGAGGCTGGAAGCTCCACACAGAGGAGATCACAGAATGCCGCTTCTGCACCTCTGGGCGGCAGAGCCAGGATTCAGAAGAGTTCTGTCACCTAGAAGATAAACTCAAGGGCTTGGCTATCCTTGCAGCTGCCATGTGCCACCCTCGCTGGGAGCCACGCACTGGACCAAGGGACTCATAATATCGGCTCACTGGCCCTCTCTCTGGCCCCCTCTCTTAGGTCCAGTCTAGAGATAAATGTCCATGTCCACTTATCCCTCTGTCAGGAAAAGTAGGCCCAGCTCTATATCCTAAAGAGCCAGGATGAGGCTACTTGTATAAATGAGTCTCTCCTGCAAGGCCCGAGACTGGGCCTGAGCCCTCCCTGCTCCAGTTCTAGGGCCGCAGGCTGAGCTCGGTTATTGGTGCTTACAGGGTCAGTTGAGAGCCAGGATTAGTCAGGAAATGGCATATGAGGGCCCCAGGGCAAGACTTGGTGTCTTTGTGAACTGATGACACTGGTGCCTTTAGGGGAATCTGAAGCCCTGTCTTTACCCCAAGTCTCCCCAGAGAGATATAGTTTCAGTAGTGATAAATGTCATCAATGAAAGAAGGGAGTGTGTGTATCAGTCACAGTTCAGCATCCACCCGAGCTAAGTTAAGGCGAAAGGGATTTATTACAGGATACTAAATAGTTCATAGAATCGCTGACAAGGCTGAAGAAACCGCATAAGTTGGGATTTCAGGAATGATCCCAAAGCCATGCTGCAGAGCCAGGCCACTGTGGGGCTGTACTGGCCGCCAGTGTCGGATGTGGCAGTGTCCCCGCCTACATGGTCTGGAAGCTACCCCTGCTGTGGTTCACACCTGCAAAATGGACACTTGGGACTCCAAGACTCCTGCCACGACTCCTCTCGGCAACAGAAAAACAGAAGCACAGGCTCTGCTTCAATTCTGCCGTCTCATGCTGGTACACTGGATAGGAAGAACCAGATGGCATTTAGAATCCTAGCTTCAAAGGAGTCAGGAGGTGTTTGAAGGTGTTCCAGAAGGGAGTCATATATCCAAACCATAGTGTATAATGAAGGGGAGTCACCAGGAGAGCACCTTAACCACTGGGGATTTCGGGAAGATGATCCTGCAGAAGTGGCATCACAAGCCAAACTACTGATGGGTGTTAGCCAGGCAAGAAGGATCTGATTCGCATAAATTCGCAGATAGCAGGGCCCCACCTCAGACACTGACTCAGTGGGACTGGAGCTGAGCCCAGTTTGCTGCCATCTTCCCCTATGATGCCCTTGATAAAATTCTCCAATGTCCTTTAGGTACGTTCTGTTCCGTTTGATCTTCAAGATAAACCTATGAAGCAGCCTCATCAGGTATTCTTACCTTGTGCAGAGAAGGAGGAGGTAAAGGTCAAGAAGGTTAAACCACTTTCTCCAAGCTGCCCAACTTGCTGGAGGTGGAGCCACTGGCCACTACCTGGACCTTACTCTCCATCGCTCCTTTCAGTCGGATTAAGAACAGAAAAGCAGATGTGTGAGCTGGGAGACATGAATCCCAGCACTAGTCCTGCTGGGGTCAAGGACAAGCCTCTTCACCTCTCTGACCCTCTTTCCTCACCTGTGAGGTGATGTGGCTGGAATGCATTTGCAAACTTTGGTAGTGGGAGCCTTCTTTCAAGAGAAGTGTTGCGTGTACCTACATATTAGATAGAAAAAAGCAGAGCTGCTACGGTTGCCTCAGGGAGCATCCAGGCCCTCTCCCCCCATGATATCTTTGCTTGAGGTTTACGGAGCTGGACCCCCAACGAAGGCCTGTGACTCCTTGCCTGAGCCTGCTCACATCATTTCAAACATCGTGACTTTCATCCACAGAGGAAGAGCAGGAGGGGGCTGTCTCTCTGGTAGTCCAGAGTGCCTGGATGTGGGAGGGGTGGGGGGAAGGGGGAGGGGTGCTGAGTATTTAGAAAATAGAAGAATTGGTTGATTGGCCAATGGGCCCAGCTTTTGAGGTAAGCGTGTTAGGTGTGGTGTCTCATTCTGCTGCCTGTTTCCTAAATTAAAAATCTTATATCCTGTTCACCTGGTGGAGATATTTGCTTGAGATGAAATAGAGCAGTTTTGAAAAGTAGTAAGGGAAATGAGACCATCTTGGAGGACGGTGGAGGCATCTACTCTGCTGGACCTTGGCAGTAAGTGGCCTCCATAAAATCTCGTGCATCCACCCCCTGAGCCTTCTGGCAGAGCAGCACTCACATGCAAGTACACACGACAACTACCAGAATAGGCACGTCCTGGGCTAGCTGAGGGAGCGCCTTCCTGATTGAGCCAGAAAGAACATGGCTCGGAGGAAGAAGTCAAGGCATCACACCAAGTCCACTTCCACCCAGAATTTGAGAAAACTCTGAACAGCTTTGGTGGAATTGCTTGAGTTAATACTATGTTTCACTATGTTTGCCTTTATTTACCAGAAAAGCAAAGAAAGTGCCATTAAGATCAGTACGAATTGGATATGCGGGCTGTCTGCCTATTCTTGGTTATTAACTGACACTAGGGGCATTCCATGTACCTCTTCTAAAATCATGCCAAAGCAAGCATCTGCTGAATGGAGGTGTTCACAGAAAGCCAGCAACTTTTGTTGGAGCTATTTGAGGAAACTATTGATGCATCTTCTGGAAGAGGCTGGCCATGGTAGTCGTCCATGGGTACAGGTCTTCTCATCAGAATCTATAGCTTCTTTCTTTGGCTTTGCCTGATAAGATTATTGCCTATAGCCAGCCAGCAGGGGCATCACTCATTATTGCAGCCCTTTGAAAGTTACTCCTGAAGAGGAGTGATGTGACTCACCTGGTGAGACCCGGCCAGAGACTATTTAATTCAGAATTAACAGGGTAAGGCACAGAGGAGCAGGGAAGACCGGAGTGCCCAGAACGGGCTCAAAGGAGCCTGTCTTTAAGGATGGATGGAATTAGAAAGGGGAAGGGGAGGAGGAGGAAAATTAAGGTTCAAGGGACTATTAATAATAGCTAACATATACATATGATGGAATATTGTTCAGCCTCAAAAAGGAAGGAAATTCTGGCACATGCTACAACATGGATGCACCTTGAGGACATTATACTAAGTGAAATAAGCTATCACAAAAGGACAGATACTCTACGATTCCATTTGTGTGAGGTATCTAGAATAGTCAAATTAAGAGAGACAGAAAGTAGAATGGTGGTTGCCAGGAGGAGCTGAGGGGCAGGAAAGGGAGTTGTTTAATGGGTATAGAATTTCAGTTTTGCAAGATGATAAAAGTCTTAGAGACAGTGGTGATGGTTGACATTAAGTACATGTGAATGTACTTAATGTCACCGAACTGTACACTTAAGTTAAAATGGTAAATTTTATGTTACATGTATTTTTCCACAATTAAAAAATAATAATAGCTAACAATTTATTGAGCACTTGCTGTATGCCAAGCACTGCATAGAGCACTTTACTTCTCGCATGGTTCTTGAAATAACCATATGAAGTAGGCACTTACTGTTTTCACTTCACGGATATGGAACCTGAGGTTTGTGGTCATTAAGTCAGTCTCCCACAGCCAGACGACTTGTGATGGTCAAGTGTGGATTGCACCCAGATCTGCGTGAGTCCAAATTACAAGTCCTAAACACTGCACTGCGTGAATTACAGACTGAAACATAGGAGCTAAGAGAGGAGCGACCCTCCCTGCCAGGCACTGACCGCTGAAGGTTGAGAGGCGGTGTTTCTAAATGTCACCTGGTTCTGCTAGAAGCAGGAATTAGGTTTTCTTCTGCCTCCAGGACCCATGGCCTTGTTCAGGCTCCTGGATTCAGCGAGCCCTTGCTGGGCACTCACCTGGCCTCCCCATTGCATGGTAGTGTTAGAAATTGTCAGTAAGTCATAAATTGCACGTTTTATGTGCAGTTGGCTTGGAACATCCCAGGACCCTTATTGCAAGGAGTGACCTTGTTGCCTGATCTGTTACAGACCACAGTAATTGACTACGTGAAGCCCTCAGATCTCAAGAAGGACATGAATGAGACCTTCAAGGAGAAGTTTCCTCACATTAAGTTAACACTCAGCAAAATAAGGAGGTATGAACTTTCTCTTCAGTCTCCTCTCCCAGGAAGCATTAAGCTCATGGTTTGTGTGATGGTTCAAGTGAGACATGGGCACAGTCAGCAAAAAGAGGCTCATGCAATGCTGGCTGCCTTGGGCCCCTGTGTGAGAGCTGAAGGAAGCAGGACAGAAGACAGAGCTCTTGACACGAGCTGACGAGGATCTGTGGGGAGGTTTCTTTTGTTGGTCATTTCATACTATCTGTAGTTCACCAGTTCAGTAAGATTTATGTTATTGAAAACTCAGAGAAAATAGGAAACATTTGACTCCCTGTTTTCTCAAATGTAGACAAAACAGAAAAGAGTGGTATCATAGTTTGAGATAACTCTTTACCCACAGTTGTCTGCCCTGAAATGATAGCCAAGCTCTATCTTTAAGTAGTCAGCAAAACAGCCAAAGCAAGGTCAGGCCTATGTTTCTCCTATGGCAAATTGGATCGGCTTTGTGGTGACTCATGTCTGCCGGTCAAAGAGTCCAGAGAGGACTGGCCTTGCTGGGCCAGAGAGAAGCTGACTTGTGGTATCTGTGTGCCAGGACAGCAGAATTTCTGTGTATGTAATAATGGAGGCTAAACTCTACACCAACACAATGTTGGAATATGTGCCAACATTTAAGCACACAAATCGGTATCCCCGTACTCATTTGATTCTGCCATGTTCCAAGCCAAAGAGGTCAGAAAAACGTAGTATTTACACTTTGTCCACTTGCTGGGCAGCTTTCCTAAGCACACTGGCCATTGTGCCTTTAGCCTAACCCTTCTTCTGCTGTAGTTAATGAACGTAACTGATATTCTGCAGAGCTGACACCAAGTACCTAATTTATTTCTACATTCGTCTCTCTGGAATGACTGTAGTTCTCCTCATAGTTTCCCTCTGTCGCTTTGGACAACTCTCCTAGTTTCCAGAGAGGCCCTTGGAGATCCACTAAGGTTCATTGTGGTTATTTGTGTCCCATATCAACGTGGTCTGGACTCTGTAGAACTTCATCAACAGCAAAGAGTCCAAAGCCCTAGCATTGAGTCTGTTCCTCACACATTATGTAACTTTCTCACTCACAAGGACTTAATCCCATTCCACGTCACCTTTCTGGGAATGAGAAAGAGGAAATACTTTCGAGATGAAGTAGTCCTTTTCTTTGGGGTCCCTGAAACTCTCAAGTTCTAATAAGACTTCTCTTCCTCCTGTCTCTCTCTAGTCTGAAGCGAGAGATGCGGAAGCTTGCTCAGGAGGACTGTGGCTTGGAGGAGCCCACAGTGGCCATGGCCTTTGTCTACTTTGAGAAGCTCGCCCTCAAGGGAAAGCTAAACAAACAGAACCGGAAGCTTTGTGCCGGAGCTTGTGTGCTTTTAGCAGCCAAAATTGGAAGTGACCTCAAAAAGCATGAAGTCAAGCATTTAATTGATGTAAGTAGCCCCTGTCCTGACGGCTGGGCTTGTACATGCTCCAGTCCAGTATTATCCTCACAGCCACTGAAACCACTATATGACAAGAGCAGCGTGACCTGCAGAGCGTCCATCAGACGCATTGGCTCAACAGACCTTGGCTTCCTGCCACTGTGGTTGCCTCCTCTTTGGGGAAAGGTGTGGGTTTGACTAAGTGGTTTCTCCTTTCTCTTAAAGGAGAGCCCCATCCAAGCAAGAAAACACTAATCTCCTTAGATGAATATATGAATGCCTATTTCAAAATATGGTGAATTCATAGAAAATTTGAGGTACGGTAAAGCCAACAGATCAGGATACAATCGCCGTTGCAGAGATAGTTTGTTATAGTTCCCAAGAGGAGGGGTGTCCTAGCTCAGGCTGCCATAGTAAAATACCAGAGACCGGGCGGCGTAAACAGCGGATATGTATTTGTCACAGTTCCGGAGGCTGGAAGTCAAAGATCAAAGTGCCAGCTACTTCAGGGTCCAATGAGGACCCTCTTCCTGGCTTCTCACTATGCGCCCACATGGCACAGAAAGAGCGGGGAGGGGTAGAGAGAGAGAGCATGCCCTCCTCGTTTTCTTCTTATAGGGGTACTAATTACATTACGAGAACTCCTTCCTCATGAGCTCGTATGATCCTAAGCACCTTCCAAAGGCCCCACTTCCTAATATCATCACATTGGGGGTTGAGATGTGAACATGATGGGAGGACACAGACATTCAGTCCATAACAAGGGGCCATGTAGGAAAGTACCGGGGTTGGCCAGGCATCAGAGGGAGATAGAGGAACTGTGGGCAGGAGCCTTTATTTTGGTTTCCACAGGAAGGAATGGGCAAGGCAGGGTGAGCAGACTGGGACTGACTGGTTTGAATCATATCAGTCGGCTTGGGGCATAGGAGCCGTGCCTGGTTGTCTGGCACATGGCCATGGGTGATCAGGGCAGGCAGATAGTGGCCTGGAGTGTGAGAGCCAATACAGGAGGTGGTTGGTGTGGGCTCTGGATTGGTTGGTTTACATTTGAAAAGCACACCCTCTGGGCACTCTGGGAATTGGCCAACCCTGGGAGGGACAGTCCCTCCAGGGTCAGCAAGGCCCCAGGATGTCCAAGGCTCAGAATATAGAAAATAAAAGTCATAGTTAGTGCAATGCCCCAGATACCTATCTGTGTAGCTGTCTTCAGTGACAAAGGAGAAAAAGCAGAAAGGGAGCTAATGTAGATATGCCCCACGTAAAAAAAGTATTCTTTTTTCATTTTAATTATTTTTAAGTGTATAGTTTAGTGGTATTAAGTACATTCATATTGTTTTGCAGCCATCACCATCTATCTCTAGCATTCTTTCATCTTGCAAAACTGAAACTCTGTACTCATTAAACGACTCCCCAGCCCCTAGCAACCACTATTCTACTTTGTGTCTCTATGAATTTGACTATTCTAGGTACCTCATAGAAGTGGACTCATATAGAATTGGTCTTTTTGTATCTGGCTTATTTCACTTAGCATAATGTCTTCAAGGTTCATCCATATTATAGCGTTGTCAGAACTTCCTTTTTAAGGCTGAATAATATTTCACTGTATATATATATACCACATTTTGTTTATCCATTCATTCATCAATGAAAGAAAGTATTCTTTAGGCCGGTGCTTTACCGATTTTAAAAAATGGTACAAAGTCATCTAGCTTGGAGGTGATCTTTGGATACCAAATCTGAGCTGAGATTCAGAAAGTTTACATAGATATTTGCAGATCTAATGAATCTTTAGAAATAACAAATATTAATAAAATTTTAAGTGATATTATGTTCACTTAATCATAGTTGAATAAAATACCACACAGCAAAAGCTGATAGTATTAATGCAGAATATAATGGTAATGCTTTGACGAACCATTTGCCGTAGCAATTAACCTAACACAGGACCTCACCCCAGTTATAATCTAAATGTAGTCTCTAACTACCCATTGGTGAGATTAAACCAACAACTAAGTTTAAGCCAAAGCAGAATGTACTGCAGCAAAAATGAGGCCTTTGCTACCCACCTTTACCATGATTTTTCCCCTTCATTTCTATCCCAGCAGCCCTTACAGCTGGGTGAACTGGGAGGCAGTGTAGGAGGGGTCCCCCTAGGCCCAGAGCCAAACACCGGCCACTCAGCCTGTTCAGATACACAGGAGTTGTGTGATGTTCTGAAAGTGAGGTGACCTCACCAGGGTCCTCGTGCATAAAATAAAACCAAACACATAGAATCAGCTCACTCGATTCTGAACTTTCCATGTGATTATCGTTGTAGATGATTTGCTATATTTTTAGTCGTACCTCTAAGCCCGAATAACTAGTTGTAACAGTAGAGTTTGAGTCCCAGTTAAGTTTGAATCTCAGCATTGCCATTTACTGCCCATGTCATTGTGGACAAATTACTTACCCTCGTGAGCCTGTTGTCTCACCTGTAAAATGGATAAAACATCACCTGAAAGTCACCGGATGTATGTGAAGCTTCCACAAACTGTGGGTCCTCAGGAAGGTTCGATTCCTTCTCTACCAGGACTGAGGGCAGGAAGTACAGCTGATGCCTCCCTTTTCCCTCCACAGTCTTGCCCACAATGGGTTTCTCTGTAAACACTCCCCGGCTGATGGGCAGAGAGAGAGGTTGCATGTGGAGAAAGCCTAGGATTTTGATTTCAAAGCTAAAACACTTTGTTTTCTTTAATTCTGTTGCAGAAACTGGAAGAGAAGTTCCGGCTGAACAGACGAGAACTGATTGCCTTTGAATTCCCAGTGTTAGTGGCCTTGGAATTTGCCCTTCATTTGCCAGAGCACGAAGTCATGCCCCATTACAGACGCCTGGTCCAGAGCTCCTAGCACAGGCCCCCTAGGAGGGCCAGGGACCACTTCCTCTGAGCTCGGCGGAGCAGCATTCAGTACTGAAAATGCAAAAATAGAACTCAACATACCAGGCTTTTTCCTCTCAACATGTTTTTGTGTAGAAGCAGTACCGGAAACTTTTCAGGGAGTCTTCAGTCTGGCTGGCCGAGATGAAATGAGAGCTGTTTGTTTGCTACTCAGGGAGGGAAGAGGACACCCATGCAGAAGACAGCAGAGTCCCTTCCAGCTCTCCACTAGCAAGAGTTCTTAGCTGTCTCCGCCCCAGGCTTCCTCCCGGGCACACGCAGGCCTTGCAAGTGTGGTCCAGGGCCTTCTCTCCAGACCCGCTCACTCAGACTGAGGTTCTAGAGCAGAGTGGGGAAGAGAATTTGCAGAAGTTGGGGGAAAGCTTTTAAAAGATACCCTCACTGTGTCAAAAGAGTGTGCCAATCTATTTTTGTATCAGCTGTTGAAGTGCACTTTCTCTTGGGGCGTGTGCATGACTAAGTGTGACAGTGTGTGTCAGAGATGTCTCGTCAGCTCTCAACCCCCAAAGCTAGCCACAGACCTCAGCCTGGGGTCATGAGTGGTAATTTCTAGATAATCTCTGGATAACAGTCACTCTCTATACCAGATTGTCGGACATCCTCTGCCCTCAGAAAATGACATTGTTTCTGTTACTGCTTCTACCACGCATAGAACAGAAAAGACACGTTCTCAGTATTGGATGGGTCTTGTGGAAAGGTGGGGAGTGTGGCGCTCTGTACCTGTCTGCCGTCACACTATGTGCACACACTTAACCTTCGCACTTTTCCCACTGTGGAGATGGCTGGGGTTCTACTCCGTGGTATGTATTCCTGTGCTCTATGTTAGAGTGCATAATAAGCACATTTATTGTGCTATATATATATAAAGTGTTTTATAAATATCCAGAATAAGGGTAAGACACATGATTGGTGTTTTGAGGCTTTTGACAGCTGGGACAAACTGCATCTTGAGCTGAGGTTGTGTCCATCGATAGAGGCAGTGACTCCTATCACCACCATGTACCCAGGTCTGTTAATGCAGAATTTCAACTGTGACTTGTACTAACTGCTGCGACAACCTGTACTGAGGCTCGTGACCACGCCATCACCTCATAGCCGTAAGAGATAAGCACCCACTGCGGTTCACCTGACTGAAGAAAGCCCTTGGCCATGTAAAAGGAATTAAAATATTTTATTGTTTCTATATACATGTATGTGTATGTTTCGACACGTGCATTACCCCTTGCCCTGCATTAAGGATTCCTTTGCTGCCATCCCCACTTCAGATTTCACACACAGATTTGGAGCTTCTCACATCACCCCAGAGAAAGAGCAAGGGGAAACTGAGCATATTTAGCTTTAGTTAGCAGAACTCAAAAGAATCTGACAGTCACACAGGATAGAGAGTTTCAAGGAGCTGCTGGGGAAAGAGCAAACAGGGTATTCGCCTTCTTTATAGTTGTAGATTTAGCTGAGTTTAGTCCTAAATATTGTGCTAACAAATTTCCTTAGCTGGATTCAGTTTAAGACAATGGTTTTGTTGGGGGCTATGATGAATGTGATCTCTTTGGCTAGATCATCTAATGTTTAAGGGCACACCAACTGTTCATGAGGGAAATTTGGAAAGGAAGCACAAAGTGCTCAAAGCATCTCTGTCACCTTAAATACAATGTGCCCTTGACCTTCCTCTCTTGGTGTCTGTTACTTGCAGCTCTCTGATGAGCCACCCCAGTTCTCAACCCAGTCAGTGCCCTGGTGAGTGCCCTGGTGAGTAGAAATCCTTTCTGAGAAGCAGGGCCACTGACATGTAGAAACTGCCCGCAGAGCTCCTCACCTTTAACCTGCCTTGCGTCCCCTGCCAGCCTCAGGGGATTGTCCGGTGGATGACGTGCCACTAGCCCAGACCTAGGGAGAGTACCCTGCATCCTTCTTGTGTCTTAATATCAAGCTAATATTCTTGAATTTGGGACAGTTTGGTTTTGTCATTTACAAAATGGATATAAGTTGTTGGTCCATTTAAAAAAAAAAAAAGACTTTAAATTTAAAACTATTTTGGCCTGTGGATTTGTTCAGTGGGGAATTTTATTGGTTTTAATTTGGTTGCGGGGGGAGGGTACAGCGGCTGAGGATGAAAGATTTTTGTCAAGAGATTTCCTTTGGCTTGTCCATAACATGAGCTTTCTGAAGGGAAAGAAGGCTGAGATGGGGTGAGGTCTGAGGGCGAAGCCCGCTGCCAGAGCTGCTCAGCAATGATGTGTCTCAAACACTTCTCTAGCCTTGGGCTAATGGCAGGGGAGTCAGGGAGGCAGCCTGCGCCTGTGTGGAGAGAAGGAGGCCACTCCACAGACTGTTCTAGAAGACCCTGAGGCTCTGCTCTTCTATACTTCACAGAGAACAGGTTCAAGGCCCTTTGCAAGCCCTACTCTCTCTTAGGCCTGCCCCAAAACCTCTCCAGCTCTCCCCACGTACAAATGTCTGTGGGAAAGCCCTGCCCAGCCACGTGCTCTGCGGGACAGCACTGGCCACTTTGCTTGACTTGATTTCCCCAGACTGGCCCGGGGTATCCTGGACTCCTGTCCTCTAGTCAGCCTTGACTATTAAGTCAGGTAAGAGATGGGAAAAAACAAGCAAACAAGTGCCACCTGCCCTTTTCTGGAGCAGGCCCGCTGTACGCCCTGCCTGGAAGGGGTCTGGTCTACCTGCCCGTGGGGCCTGAGCTTATGCCAGCCCACTGACACTCCTTTTTCCCTAGTCAAAACTATATTAAAGCAGGAAATCCATACCAAATGCAAAGCTGTTCGTTTTTCTTGATTTTTTGTTGTCGTCTCCCAGCAGCCCCATCTTCAGGCTGTCCCTTACTCCACATAAATTACCCTATACCACAGGCCCTGCCTTGCTGATGTGGGAGCAAGGGACATTGGATGTCCCTTCCTCTCTTCCTTGTTACTCTGCCCTATCCCCTGCTGAATTCCTTTTCTTAGACATATCCAGTTCAGTGTCTAACAGCCAGCCCTCTCCCCGCACCTTCATAACTCATCAGAACCTGAAGTCTTTCCATCCTTCCACCCCCTACCCTACAATCTGCATGTGGGGGGGAGGGAGAGACAGGAGAACAAAGCAAATTTGAGCCAGGTAATTTTGTGACCTGTTAATTGTGTTATCTGTTCAACGATGGAAGAAGTCCTTCAAAGGAAGAAGGGGTTTGTGGGCTCATCTCTCTGAGGCATGGCCTGAGTTCATGGCCCAGGAGCTGTCAAGGTTGTTTATTTGAGGACAGGG